AATTTACAAAATCTGTGCAAACTCGTTCTTTCCAGGCTGCCACAGTGTGAAAGCATGCATAACTGAAGAGGGGGGCGGGAGGCAGCGCGCCAGGGCCGCAGTATAGCGCCCGCAGTGAGACGCACCCGCTGCTCACCGCCGCTGTAAATCGTTAGCACATCTCTGTATGTAGAAATATAGCATATGTATTATTTACACACTGTTATAAGACTATAACAGGCTTGATGTGTAAAAACTGAAGAGGGAGGGTCTGATTCGTCCCTAACCGCCAACCAGGATGCTGCTGAAATGCTTGCGGCTTTCGACATATTTTGTTTTTTTCCGGCTGGCCAGCTTTTACACATGAGCCCAATGACTTAATGTGTCACAGCCCAAAGGGCAACGGTAGGCAGTCACTCTGAAAACAATAAAAAAATAAGCAGAATCGAGAAATGGGTCATTCTACCAATGACAGATGAGTTTGACATATTTCCGGGTTTTGAAGTGTAACCAAGCGGCTGTGCCTTGGTGCTAGTTAGGTGCGGCCTTAAAGGGAATCCACAATCAAAAATACATGAAACATTCCTAAAAATGTCAATACAGAATGTTAATATTTTATCAGATTTGGATCTTCTTTTTACCTCTGTATAGTAATAATAATTAGGTGAGAGTGAGAAGTGGGGTTCAGTTTAAGCTCCGCCCCCCCCACACCTAATTCTTTTGGATCATCTGTTGTGACAAGCACAGCTGCTGTTTAGTGATAGGATAGCAGGGGATTTGGGGCCACATGTGGCCCTCTTATTTCCTCTTTGAGCCCCTCAGTGGCTGTTCTGCAGTTGGTAAAAGCTACACTCCTTACATTTTGTGCAACTCAATAGTTCAGGGTGGTTTTGGGTCCCTTTCTCTGGGACATAATGGTGGTGAGCGTCGGTATTGATACTATAATGTCGAGTAGTAAAGTGATAAAATCTTCGGTAGGTGTGTCCCACAGTAGACGCAACGGGGAGGATTTCATTATGGGGCTTTAGCATGTTCACTTTGCAAGAGAATTTTCATTCAGCTAATTGAATATGATGAAAATTCAGTTTGCAAAAAATACCCAATCACGTGCAAGGAAGATGAAAAAAAGATGGACTTTTGCTTTCACGTGTTTGGATGATTTACAGAACTCTGGGCATAAATATTCTTAACCCTTGCAGTGGGTCTACCCCCGCACAGCAAGGGTTAACTGCTCATTTTTGTCTAGGGATGAAAATAACAAAGATATACTCACCAGAACTTCCTAGACCGGTCCCTACAGCCTGTCTCCTCCTCTGCTCCAGAAATGTCCCTTGTCATCCTCACATGCTTTACACTGTATAGGACGTGATGACTCACAGCTCCTTAGACCACTGAAGCGAAGAGGGAGAGAGGATCCAGGGACCGGTCTAGTAGCCACCTGCATGTGAGGTTCAGGTTAGTATATCGTTGTTGTTATCGTCCCTAGACCATAATGAGCACTTACCCCTTTACAGTGCGCGGGTAGCCCCACTGCAAGGGTTAGGAATATTTATGCCTGGAGTTCTCGTAAGTCAGCAGAGCTTCACTTCATTCACTAAGCTAAGTAAAAATTCCGTTGCAAAGTGAACATGTTCTACTCCATTAGTAAATGAACCCCAATATCTCCTCTTATTCATTTGAGTCTGACAAACCTAAATAGCGGGTGCAAGGCACAGAGGTGCTGTATACTGCGCCCTCTAGTGGACTCTTCATAGCAATATATGGAGAAAGGTAGCTTGGCTGAAAACCAAACTTGGCCCGTCATTGGTCCTCACCTCCCCAAAGTGGACACAGACAGCAGTAAAAACTACGCTGTGCATTGAACCCTTTCCCCACCCTACCATAACAAGCAAGCTTGCAGTTTACATTTTGTTGTTTTCTCCTTATCTCTTCTTAGGGTTGTGCTGCGGTACCAACCATCTACCTGAACCTATCCTCTGCTGACTGACCAAAATGAAGAAATAATTCCCTAATGCCTTTCTGCCCAGCGGGAGGATTTCCCCTCCTCCTGTTCCAAAGACAATGTAGTCACCAGGACAGAAGTGAGGGAAAACCACAAGGAAAAACCTGACAGAGGTTTTAATCCTTCTCTACTGTACACAAGTGCTGCGGTACCAACCATCTACCTGAACCTATCCTCTGCTGACTGACCAAAATGAAGAAATAATTCCCTAATGCCTTTCTGCCCAGCGGGAGGATTTCCCCTCCTCCTGTTCCAAAGACAATGTAGTCACCAGGACAGAAGTGAGGGAAAACCACAAGGAAAAACCTGACAGAGGTTTTAATCCTTCTATACTGTACACAAAGCTAAAAAAAG